CTCTTGCTCCGATGCCATCTCGATAACCACTTGACAGATTGTGATGAAACTCTGCCAGCGTAAACATTACACTCTTAGCTAGTTTCAGTCAAAATTTCATCAATGTTCACCCACAGCAGCTTAAATTGTTAGTTGGGCGCTGTCCTTGTCGCCGACCATGTCCTTCGTTATGCTTCTCTCACTCTTAGGAAACGCAAACGCCTTCTTCACTGCTCTACAATCATTTCCAGGGCTGGTAGCAGGTCACTTTTTAGTGACTTGGTCACTATTTTGAATCCAGTCACTTAAAAGTCACTTTTTACACCAAAAAGTCACTAAAGTCACTATTTCCCTAAAAATAGTCACTAAAGTCACTTTTTCACAAAATGTTTAAATTGAGTACTTGGCACTAAGAAAGTCTACGGTAGTTTTAACAAAATATACATATCAGCTAAAAAATTGAAAATTTTAACCAGGGTGACCAGTGAACCGCAAAACGTTAGAACACCAGGAAAACTATTGGAAAATGCGTTCAATTTCGATTTAAAAGAGAATTTTAAAGGATTTTAGGGATGACACCAAGATATTTCTGAGAAGAATACCAAAGTACAGACTACGAAAGTCTCATGTAAAATAAAGTGTGCTGAGAACCGATTTCTTCATCTCCGCTTAAATTTTAAGCCAGGTTTATCTATATAGTTAAACTTGGCTTAACACATACGAGCGTCGCTTTTGATTATTGTTTAAATTATTAGAGACGCAAAATTCAGCTCCGAAACAATTTCGGAAATAATTTTAATATAATTGAGAGTGCATTTTAACGAGAGTTCTGAGAAGAATTCTATGATGATTGGATGAGAATTCTAGGTCCAATTCTAATAATAATCCAACATTAGAACTTTTGCTTAAGAGGCTCTGATGAAAATTCCATGAAAATACCGTGAACTCCAAAGATGGTCTCTGCGGATAGTTCCAAAAGAATTCTGGGGTGATTTCTGACGATACTTCCAAGAGAATTCTAAAGAGTTCGAAATAAATTTCGAGAAGAATTCCAATGGACTCGAATTTTGAGGGTTCAATCTCAAAGGAATTCTGAAAAGAGTTTCAAAGTTTGTGATGGATTTTTGTTTTGAGAATTCTGAGGAAATACTATCGGGATTCTAAGGAGAATACAAATTGAATTTCCAATTGAATGCAAGGGAGAAGTCCAAGATTAAACTATGCAGAAATTTATGAAACTTCTGAGGTTAATTGCATGGAAATTCCAAGGATGGATTTATGGAAGGAGTCTTCAGGGAGTTTCTAAAAGAATCAATAAAAAATCGAAAATAATCTACTTCTACTAATCATGTGTTATTACTTCATGCGTGAATTCAACGATTTACATAGTCGGAGATGCTTAACGTCAAATATCAGACTTAAATAGTACGGCAGTGTGAAAATTGTCTATACAAAGTAGAAAGCGAGCAAAGGACAATTTTGAGGAAGGTACTAATCGGATAGTTGTTTACAGTGTGAGGGAAAGAAGTGTGAAACAATCAATAGAACTGTTTCCGCACATCTGAGGTCATCCCTTTTGCCAGTGGTGGCAGGGGTAATACCCCTCATCATCCCTCATTAACGGATGAGCTTGGTAAAGGAGATGCTCTACCCTATTCGTACCTTCCTCAAAATTATCCTTTGTTCGCTTTCTACTTTCTATATACAAATTTCACACTGCCACACTATAACGAAACTATGAACTCTTTACTTTCATCTCCTCATCTATCGTAGAAAATGTCCACTTTAGTTCTGATATTTGATGTTAAGCGAAAATAATCTATTTCCAAGAATTTTGTTGATTGTTCTGCAACGAATTTCAAGAATGCAATATTATGTTTGTAAAAGCTTATTTGCCTCTAAGTTTAAGAGAAGGGGAATTGTTCTAATAAAGTTCTTGAGATCATTCCGAACACATTCTGTGAGAAGTTCATAGCAAATTATCAAAGTTATCTACCTAGATATATCAAATATTTAGAGATTTCGAACGCAGAATCAAATTCAAGATCATAAAAATGGGAATTACTATTTGCTAGTCATCATGTATAACGTAAGCAAAAGTAAATTATTCAAATCAATTCAAATGCTCTTCACAGGAGATTCCGTTGTGAGATTCGATTAAACTAGAGGAATTTATGAAATTTGATTTTAAGTTCCATGGCATAAAAAGTTTATTTCAATATCAAACCGTTTCCATATAAATGGTTACTTATTTAGTATTTACAAGTCACTATTTGGTCACTATTACCGTAATTTTAGTCACTAAAGTCACTACTATTATATCGTATCAGCACTACCAGCCCTGCAATTCTGATGACATCGATATCGTTCGCAAAGTCACGGAGCATGTGTTACCGTGTGATGATGCTACTGTTTTTCTGCATACCAGCTATTTGATAAATCACTCTTAAGAGTAATGCTAAAACTCTGGCGAATAGCAACACAAATTTCAGCCTCATTGGATCTTCATATATTAAGGCAAACTTGCACAGGCAGTACTAGATTTTTTGATTCGTGCACCGTGCACCTATATCCATTTTGGTTCCACCACCTGATGCTATCTGACTGCCAACAGATTTTAAACTCTTGGCTTTCTCCACTGCTTGGAAGAGTTAATATTTTGAGATACCGTGGACACTAGACTGATGCAAAATTTGACTTTTTCGCTCCACAGTGCTTAAATGGTTTCAAATTGGGTTCTGATTAGCCTCCCAAAGTTACAACTCATTTGGTTAGAAACAGACTTCGCACAAGCCATTTGAAGTTTGCATGTAAATTACTATGGAAAATCTCAACTTTTTGTACCATGTAAAACGAGACAGGAAAAAGTTATTAAAATTATTTAAGAGATTGGTAAACTTATGACATGATCAAGCAGCTGCTCTGTAGGCAGCACTGTATTTTGCAGTGTGACATAGTAGCCATGACTTTGTGTCCTATTCAACGCCCCAGAAACACCAATGTTGCCTGCTGAGCAGTTGATTGAGCATGATCATAAGACATCAGTGCATTGAACCAATGATAACTTTCGATCCTTGTATTTAATCAAAAAGTGGTCTACAGCAATGTTGTAGCTGGAAAAATTTTCTACAAGTACAGTTGAAAGTTTTTGAAGTAGACCGATATGGTGAATTATTAGATAGACATGAACAAAAATCTTGGTTTTACCATAGTAATTCCCATACAAACTTCAAATGGTTTGTGCGATCTCAGTTTCTCACCAAATGGGTTCAAATTTTGAGAGGCTAGTCAGGATCCGATTTGGAATTGTTTCAGTATTGTGGAGCGAAAATTTCAAATTTTGCATCACTCTAGTGGGCACCCGTTAATCTGAACGTGCACATTAACGGGGCTCATTTTTAATTTGAACTTCTAGTAACTCTACGACCATCGGAAAAGTGAGTTTCTGATAGCCTTATTTGCTGTTTTGTTTTGATTCTGCGTTTCGTTTCGCATCGTTTCATGGTTTCATTTCGATTTTCTCCATTCCATGTGCTAAATGACGTTTGAGAAATTTTTAGTTTGCACGCCCTAATAAAATTTGTATGGTTATTTTGCTTAACCCTGAACACGTCAGGGTACCATCCAAACCATTTGTGGAAAAGTTCAATCATGTTCGGGTATGGTATTTTTTATTAGGGCGGCGTGCAGTTTAGCGGGGTTCAAACTAAAAACGGTCAGATTACCGGTGGTCTACGTTGTAGGAAAAAAAAGTAAAATCTCGGTCTCATTTATTCAAGGTTCGAGAACCAGGACAGATCATGAGACTAGACTATGAAATTTAGATTTAAATAAAAAATCAAAATACTGGAATTGCGATGTCAAGTCATGCTTAGAAACATGTACAAGAACCCGGACTAAAAGCTAGGACTAGAAACGAATTTTTAACAATATAGAAATTCGACATCATGAACTTGTAAAACATTGATCAATTATCATTCAGAATCTGGGCATTAAATCATTAATCTCTGTTTACCTCGACATCCCCTATTCGCTAACGCACGGATATTCGATCGTTTTATTGGTGCGCGCACCTTCGCGCACCGTCTCTTTCTGCATCTTTCCAATCGATATGACCGGTTCGCCACCTCTTGTACGTGTCCCTAGGTATATCTTTCATGTTGTTGACGCCTTCTTCACCACTTTTTCTTTTCCACTCGTTTGTCGTTCGATATGGGAGGCTCAATACATGCACGATATGACGATATCCTACTACTAGTAACCACCCGACATGTGGCTGCTGGCGCAGGTTGTGAAAGTAATCCTATGTTTCTCTTCGTTTCGGTATTCGGTTTTACCGATTGTACGTATGTTTCATGTTGCTATCTTAAATTTTCTCCCCGGTTGCAGTTTTGTTTGTCTTTCTTTGTTGTTTTACATTTGCATACACGGTGTCAACGCTGATGATGACGGTGGTGCAATGATGTACGTGACTCTTGTTTTTCGTATTATTGAATAATACCTAGTTGAATAATTCAGCTATATGTCGATAATTTCTATTTGGTAGTGCGGTATATGGACTTGCACATGTCAGCTTGTAGTTACTCGATGTGAACACTTATCGAAAACTGATAAAAAAAATACTTGTTGTATCATCAAGGCAACCTATAGGGGGAGGAGGGGTATAGTGAACAGGTGGGGCATAGTGACCGTCCCGCAGTTTGGCTTTGGATCTCCAGCTGCATGAAACAAATCTACTGGTAGTAGGTTCAATATCATTATGATATTGATCATACTACCAACCAATTTGTTCCGAACGGCCGGAAGTCCAGCTGGTGCACGGGATGCTCACTATGCCCCTCTTACCCCTACCTACTTGGATAAAATTATCTTTTTCGTAACTTCTGCTTCGTTTCCTTACGCTTATTAGGTTCAAAGTAATTAATATACGTTATTGTCATTCCTTCTTTTTACGATTGTAGTTTTACAATTATTGAACAAACCACAAAAATCCATCTAATGTCATGTTTTCTTTTCTTTAGATACTGAACGATTGGAACCAACAGGCAGTTCAACCTATACATACGAGCACATACTTTAGTCGGTTTGCAGAAGCCAATAGTACTTCTCAACCAGCTTCACCTAATCAAAATGGAAGAAGCGTAACGGATACTTACCATCAACAAATCGACAATAACGATATTTGTGTGAGATCAGACATAGCCGTGTTGCAGCCAATACAACATCTGTACCACGGAAGAAACATGGCTGCACCATTTTCGGCCTCGACAGCATTTACCAATAATAACAACAACGATGGCTGGGGAGACGACTGGGGCGATTGGGGTGAGAATTCCAATACGTTAGCTCAGCAGAAACCTCCACCCCCACAGCATCAACAACAACATCAGCAAGCCGCACCACCACAACAGCATATGAACACGAACCAGTTCTTCCAGCCACAACAACAACAACAACAACAGTATCCAACTCAACAATTGCATTTGGATCAAAATAACCGAAACTTCATACCCAATCTTGCGCCTACTGGTATGCAACAGCAGATGTACCCAAACTATTCCGCTCCGGCACCTCCCATGCAACAACAACAACCATTTCAACCCAGCTACCAACAGCAACCCTATCCACAGCAACAGCCTCAGTACACGCAACCTCAGGCTGCAACCAACTATTTCACCCAGCCACCACAGAGACCTCTTTCACATCCTCCGGCGTCGGTGACTCCTCAACTACTACCCCAGCAAACCGTTCCGTCATTGAACCCAACCGTCTCCGATAGTTTCACCACAAACGCTAACGACAGCTGGAACTGGAACTTGTCGGAAAGCCAACTAGCCGCTAGTCCCAAACCACAACAGCACGTCGAACCTCAACCCCAATCCAATGCATTTCAAGACACCTACAATCAACAGCAAGGCTATCCGCAAAACAATTTCAGTATACCTGGTGTCGGAAACAATACTCAGCTGCAACAGCCCAAGGTACAGCCAGCGCAGCTAACACGACTCAAGAATGAAACTCTATCGCCACAATGGTCCATTGAAAGCCAAGTCTCGCAAACCTCCAGTGATCGCTCAATAGAGAGTGGAGAGATTGGTGAAAGCAGAAGTTCCAACACGGGACCGTCCGACGACGGTTCATCCGGAAGGCAGCATCAGGTTGAGAACTACGAGAACATCGGTGGCTATGATAAACCATTTCCAACTCAAGTTGAAGTCCCGGATAAGTTGGACGTGGAATTGAACTCCCTGAGTATTAAACTGGAACCTCAGGAGCAGGCAATGGTGGAGGAAAAACGTTCCGATAACTACAGGGAGTCTTCTTTTCCACCACCTCCACCTTCAATTGCAACAAGTCAGCAGTCCGATGGTGTGGTGCTACCTCCGAAACCTACGTCTAGGACTCCACCGCTGCCACCACCACCTACGGACGTAGGTCAACAAACTGTTCAAGCCACACCGCCTGTTCAAGCTCCACCACCAAGTCAAGGACCTCCCCCAGCTCAGGGACCTCCGAAAGGGTCGGCATCCAACCCGTTCAAGCGAACAGCACAACGTGCCCACATCGCAACCCCTGGATTGGGAGTCACCCCGCCTCCGGCACCTAACCCAACCTTTTTCTATCAACCGCAAGAGATCCCCAATGTAGAGAATCTCGTACCGGAAAACCAAGAAATCCCGGACTCACGTGCCGACAACGTTGAAAACCTCGAAGTAGCTCCTAGTAACGACCGTAACCAGTATCTCCAAACAGGACATCTGTCCGAAGAAGGTTACACGTCATCCCATCGCGCTGTTTCGAATGATCAACATCCGGGAGATGACAGCCTTCCACCACCTGGCCTATCGCGCTACGTTCCCGGTCAGCAACAATCGGAAAACAATCAGCAACCAGCCAGTCACAGCTATCCCGAACCTCCGCCCGGGCTCGATCGGATGATTCCCGGAACTGATTTGGAAAACGCAACCGATCTGAATATGGAACGGCAAGCCGATGGTGAAGTATCTGATTCGGCAGCCAATCCTAACCCTAGGCCATCTTATTCGTCCACCACATCATCATCCCAGGCAGACCACCACCATCACCATCATCATCACCACCACCATCGGGAAGAGGAAATCAGTGATCGAAACCTTTACCAGGTTCCTGGGGAAAGTGACACCCACCACAACCAGCAACGTGTCATCCCTGGAGTGGAAGACGATCGTCCGCCGCAGAGTACTAGCGCTGGCAGCTACTCGGCTCAACATCCTACAGATATCCCTATCAATGAACAGCAACGGGAACTGGTTATGGATGGCGAGAACCCACATGATCCACCACCGCAGCCATTGCACGGCGAAATAAGCCGCGAAGAACCGATAGAAGGAGGTAACACACAAGATGAACCGGTCGGTAGCAGTTCGGGAGCGGTTGCTGGTGGCAATGGGGAAACCGATTTTAACTTAATGGTGGATATGCCTCGAAAGGATCCATCGAATACATCCACGGCTGATGAAAGTGATAAGGAGCGATCGATGTTCTACGCTAAGGGAAAGCCAGCTCGAAGAGAGGAGGATCCGTTGCGTCGATCGACAAAGAGCAAGAGCTCAAGGGACCGTTACGACACGGAGGATTCGGATTATAGCGATCGAGAGCGACGGAGAAGGGAACGCGAAGGTAGTGCCGGTTTGGAGCAAAGAGAACGGAGGCGTGGCGAGCGAGAGAAGGAAAAAGAAAGGAAGAAGGACGGTGGAAGAGATCGCGATCGTGATTACGATTACCGGGATAAGGATAGAAATAGGTAAGACTCAAGTTTGATTGATATAGTTTTTCGGAATATTTACATGATATGACGCCTACAGATACGACCGCGATCGGGATCGCTACGGCCGGAACAGCAAGTACGATCGCGACAGTCGTTACGAAACCGATGGGTCCAAGTACGAAACCGAACGATCGACACGCTACGACAAGGAAGGTGACGGTAACAGGCGGTACATGTCCAGGGAAGAGTACTACCGCAAACGAGAGGAACGGGAACGTGGGGGAGGCGGTGCCGGCACCGGCACCGGCGACGATCGCCGCTATCGCAAGGAAAAGGATCGAGAGAGGGGTGACCGCTATCGAGATGAGAGAAGGAAAGGTACGATGATTTTTGCTAATATCATATTTTGGCGTCGTAACATGAACTCACCTTTTTTTAGATGATCGCTACCGTGAAGGAGGAGGCGATAAACGGCGAAGTGATCGCCATGATCGGCGTTATGAATACGAGGACTACCGAGCGGGAAGCCGAAACGGTACAGAACGGGACCGGGATCGAGCTCGTGAGAGCCGTGAACGGGATGACCGCAAGGAGCGGGACCGCAAGTATCCATCGTCGACCTACGGCGGTCAGTACGGAGCGGCAGCGTCGGGATATTATGATCCGTACAGTTACTACACTCAACACCAGCAGTACTACGAACAGCTGCGACGTACTAATCCGCAAGCGTATGCCGAGTGGTATCGCACGTACTACAGTCAGATGCAGGCAGCTCAGATGCAGCGTGATCTGTTGACCAGTGATGGTCGCGAATCGGTGCATTCCGGTCGCAGTTCAGCCAACGATAAAGAAAGGTGAGTTTCAAGGCTAACCAAAATATGGATGGTTTTAGTTGTCGTCGGTTACCACCTCGTGTGTACGGTTTGAAAGTGTGGGTGTGTGTGTGAGTGTTTAACACTGCTGTTACCTAGTTATTATTTTAAATTGTCGTGATAATTTGGCGCATCAATGTGTTCGCCACAATTGTTCCATGAGTGACATAACTGCTGCGTGTTCGAACAATTGAGTTATGGTTTTGATATTATTTTCTGTGAAGGCTTTATATCACCACTATCTAGTCGAAGCTGTCTATTTCTCCAACTAAAAAAAAACACTCATCATCCAAACAGCAATGTGCGCCGACATTTCTAATCCTAATTTAAACTCTACTCGATCAACAATCAATTTAAGTTGAGACGCATCTGTACTTAATCCATTTACTATCGCATATTTTCGGTATGGAGCGGCTGAAATTCATCTCTATCGTTACTTTTCTTCTATCGCTTTCATAATTTTTATTTATATTTTATCGTGGCCGCGTCTTAGTCTGAGTGGTTCTTAATTCTGCGCATTTCATACTTATATTTACTTTTTATCAATATTTAACATTACAATCACCACGGTATAATTTTTCTTCTAAGTGTTATAATAATAGGTACTACAATAATATATTTGCTAGGAGGGAAACAAATGAGTTCAATTGAAAATAATGAAAACGGCATACAAATAAGCTTCGTTAGATCTAACGCAAAAATGTGCGATCAAAGCATTTTACAATTTTTAAAGTGACAATCAGTGGAAAAATCGAAGTATTTGCCATAGCTTGTAAGATATATTAGTTCTTTTGTAGGCAAACAAAAAAAATAACTCAATACAATTAAAAAATACTACTGTGCAGAATTAGGTACAGTTCCCAATTATGCAGAGATGTGTCCTGTCAAGGAAAATAATGAAAAACATGCGGTAAAGGAACTACCAAATGGTTCTGGTCATGGTAATGGTCTACCTCTATGGCTAGGGGCTGTTCATAAACGACGATGGTCCTTACAAATATTTGAAAAGTTTGTTTGAACAACTGTCAACACAACGGGGCTTTCAAATTCGCTGAAAACCGTCGTATGTAGTTTACGAACAGCGCCTTATGGCTTCTCTATTCGGCATGTGAATCTGTTTGGACATATTTTGATACTAAAGACTTTATCCCAGTCATAGTTGATCTAGTAGAATAAATCATCTGAACTCCAGAACGATTTCTTCTTCTTCTTCCTATTCTCATTTCAAGCTTATTGATAAGTGCATATTAGCTTATTGCGTGCTCTAAACTTAGTGTTCTCCTAAATGGACTTCCACAGTTATTAATTGAGAGCTTTCGATGCCAATACCAATACATGAATTCGTATATATTGTGTGGCAAGCAAGCACAATGATACTCTATGCCCAGGGAAGTCGAGAAAAGATTCCCTCGACCGGACCGGGAATCGAACCCGCCGCCTCCGGATTGGTAATACCGTGCCTTTACTGACTAGGCTATGAGGCCCAGAACGATTTGGAGAACTTAAAACATCTGGTATACATGACAATATTTCATGCATGATCCACATAGACACTGTGCATCTGTATGGAAATATTTCGATACTAAAGACATTGTCCCAATATCGGTTGTTCTAGTAGATCAAATTATCTGAATTCCAGGACGATTTGAAGAACCTTGAACATCTGGATTACTCTGATTGGATATTTTTCGATACTACAGACATAATTGCAGTCTTGGTTGATCTAGTAGAACAAATCAACTGATTTGACAACGAAAAGTGCTAGGTTTATATTAGAAATAAAAAATATATATTATGAAAATGTCTCACCATTGGACAGACCCTAAGAATGTCCGTGTAAGTACACAACCGCGACGTGACCAACAAGCGTGACTTATGAAACTCTGGTATTTACTCGATTATGTGCAGGGTATTTGGTTTGAATCGGAAATGGAAATGGAAATGGAATTGAGAAAACTAGACTCAAATTAACTACAACGATTAGGACAGCAAAATACGTCAGAGACGCAAAGGTTAATTTTCAAGAAAATTTGCATTTCAAATGAAAATGCATTATTATTTTTTAATGTTTCATCAAATCTAGGCCGGTATTATTCAATAGAATCTCATGATGTAAGGGTGTTTTATTATGTTCACTAATTAAGTTAAGTTAAGTTTTCTTTATTATGGAGGCTTTCAGCCTGAGGCTGGTTCGCCTCCGTGTTACTCAGAATTTATACTATAACTGAAGATGATACAATGTTATTAAAAAAATTCGAGTTCTATTCCCGTCCAGTCTATTAATTTTACGGGTTGCAAAATTTCTCTGCTTCCTTGGGCATAGGATGGTACAGGCATAGAAAGCTCTCAATTAAAATGTGAAAAGTACTTCGAAGAACATTAAGTTGAGAGCAGGTAAATATCTAGTATGTTATAAGCAATAAGCTTGAAATGCCATGTAGTAGTATAAAAATGCTATTTTTAGGCAATGAAAACAGTTTTTTTGTCGCGGAAAAGTATTTGAAGTCGCGGATTTCTTTTGAGAAATCGCGGATTTCGCGGATCAAATTTAGAAAATCTTGTAACAACCCTGCAAATCTTATCAAGTTAAATCAAAATGTCCGGTATACATAATCCGAAATGTGGCTTCGGCTTGTTTCGTTTGGTACCAACTATGTGATATCTCTATTAGAAAAGAAACCTTGAGGCCAAGCAAATGTATGGGACATTTTGATGCTTGCAATTTTAGTTAAATTTCTTAGTTGTTAGTATTTTCACTATTTTTATATATGTCACAACATTGTTGGATAAATTCCCCATCGAATGGCATATTTCATGGCATATTTCACGTTAACGCTTTGGAGAAATATACGTTTGAAAACACCCCACATTTTCGTTACATGTCTCATTTTAGATTTCTTAATGTGACCCCCAGTATTGTAAAGAAAGACGTAGTCGTACGTCAGTATAGTAAAGAAAGACGTAGTCCTACGTCAAAAACAAACTAGTTTTAATGACCAGCCAGTTTATAGATTTTTTTTTAATTGGCATGCATTATGATTTGTTTAACTCTGGCTCCTAGAAAAGCATAGACAGAGCAGCTGACGGTAATCCTTTCACGATGACTACACCGTCCTTTCACACACAGGCTAACCGCATTTGAAATTCGTTAGAGGATGAACCATTAATTATGTTTGGCACTAAGGGCGAGAGGAGGTTTAGAAATCTACGACTAGCACTGTATAAGATACACTATTTATTTAAAGTATTAATATGTACCGTAAAACGGGGTATCTTTGATAATGCAGGCAACTTTGATAGTATAATATAAAGATTAAATTTACTCGCTGCGCTTTCTCTAAATTAGAAATAGTGGTTCCATATTGTAACTCAGGGTATTTCCGTTGATATCGTATATAGTTTTTATATAGTATGTGTTAAATATTTTAAAAACAGATTAAAAAACCATTTTCGTATTTTTCGCCTGTTTGAAAAAGCACTCAAACCATCATTTATGAAATGTATTTCCGATATAGCCATCACAAATTCAATGTTGTATTCTTATTGCCTATGATGTTTTCTGATTATATACTCATTCAGAGTTTCATATTTAAAGAACTGAAAAGTTTGAGTTTCACGATTTTTTTCTACATTCATCGAGCATTATCAAAGTAACCCGTAATCAAAATACTGATGTTCGGTCAAACAACTTAACAAAAAATGCATATGCTTTAATTTCCGTTAAACAAATAACTAACGAATTAACTCCTGGATCCTTAGTACTTGATTTAAAAATATAAAAATTAATCACTGTTACCCCGTTTTACGGTACTCAAAATATATTAAACGGTATTAACTAACAGAACCAATTTAATTTTCAGAAGGGTGTAAAATGCTAGGCGATGCTGTGACACTGCGCTCCTGTCCCGTTTCCGAGAAGCGTGCTTGTTCACATCATCGCCACGCACTTTGCACCCTTGGGGTTCTAATAGCTAAGTATTAAATTGTATTTAAAATTTATTTTATGGTATTCAATATATTAAATTGTATTTTAAGGTATTAGGGGAAATCTCTAATGTTGGCCTATAGATCTAATATTGGGCCCATAGCTAAAAAGCTGCTATTTATCAATTGTATCTAGATGAACTCGTCATTGGGACGGTACTAATGGATATTTTTGGTCACTATTGAAAATTTAGTCGATTGCTGAATTTATGTATGGGCCCAAATTAGGGACATTTAGGCCGACATTACATCCATTTCCTCTATATAGGTATTTTGAGTACCTTTTGGGTTCATAGAATTTTTAAATCATTTTTATGGTATTCAATCGTATTCGTCGAAAAGCGTAATCAAAGTAATCGTACCAATTGATTGGTATTTATAGTACTGACATGTAATCAAAATGTATATAATTGTACTCCAGGTATGTAATCAAAATGTATTTAATAGTAATCGAAGTATTAAATTGGGGGCGACCCTGGCGTAGTGGTTAACATCCTTACCTCTCACGCCAAAGTCACGAGTTCAAATCTCACCCGGACAAGTCACGAATGACCCAAGAGTGTTAAAGTGACTATAATAAAAAAGGAAGTATTAAATTGTAATTAAATTGTATTAAAATGTAGTTATATTGAACGTAATTTAATAGCACTTTTTAATACATTCAACGGGTGTGCGTTGTATTCAAAAGTTCTTTTGTCCCTCACGGTGCTGCCCTTGTTTTTAATTAGAGGAGCGTAGCGACGGACAAGCTTCTAAAAAAAACTTTCGAAAACGCTCAACTACTGCGTGGCTTTTTAGATAAAGAAGCGCAGCGACGGGCATCCCTTTCTTTTAGAAGTTTGTCCGTCCCTACACTCATATTAACATCGTATGGACATTCGCCGGTATTTAAGAGCCATACAAACAGCAATGTTGACATCATTTATCAAAAGAATGTTCTCCTAGTTTGAATCATTGATCTCTAATTTGCTGGCATGGATTGAAGGAATTATAACTTC